TTCTCCTTGTACCAGGTGTAGTTAGCTGCTGGGTTAGCATCACTGCTGCAGCTCAGAGTCACTGAACTTTCCTCCACTATCTCAGCAGAGGGACTCACTGACACAGAGGGAAGTCTTGGAGCGTCTGGAGAACAAAGGAGAGACAAACTATGAGTCTAAAAATAGTTTGTTTTTGGTTTTTTTTAATTGAAATTTGATCAATTTGTCTAATGTCCTATGGTGACTTTTTTTAATCATCTACTTTAGCAAGCCTGCTTTGTGCCATAGCCTGGCATGCTAGCTGCAAAGCTAGTTTGGAAGCTAAAATAATAATAATAATAAACTCACTTGGCCACAGATATCCTCTTAATCAGGGGTTCTCAGTCTTTCGCTGTCCAATGAAAAATCCCAGGGCCTGGAGAGGGGGCCCTGGGATTACAATCTAAGCAGTTCACTACTTTTATTTATACAGACATTAGGAAACAAATACCAAGGCCCGGCCGACAGGGACCTCAGTGGCGTGTACAGCCATGCTACTGCCCCACACTGCATTTTGATCAGTTTATTTAGTTATTATCGGGCTAGGCAGCTAGTTTACACAAATGAAGTCCTGCAGATTGACTGTTTGTGTAGTTAGATAACTTTTCTCGTTATTTTTGTCATTAGACTATTTTTTTTTTGTACTTGTCTTAATAGCATTCACATTCACCTCAAGGCCGCCCTGTTGAGAACCACTGCTCTTAATGACCCTTTTCCATTCAGTACATAAGTGAATACCCACATGCAGCACATGACTTTGAAACAACCCAAAAATAACCTAAAAAATAATACAAGTGAATCGATATGTCTGTGGCTGTACTTTGAGAAGTGCAGCGTGCGGTTTGCATGTGATTGAACCAGCATCAGTGGTATCAAAGGTGTCAACACAGTGTTGAGCTTTTTCAGCTCGGCTCTCATAGTTTATTGACTTCTCAGCATTTTCTACATTTCAAGATTCACACCAAAGTCATTATAAATGTAGTCAGCACTGGCAGAAGAACTAATTCAAAGCTGTCAGGACATTACTGTGTATACACAACGTCTCATTTAATCTGTTTAATGCCGTTTTTCCAGATGATGAGGGGAACTCACAATTGAATGTTGCTGAGATTTGCACAACACTTCAGCTGCTGACTCTGTACTCACATCTCACATCAATACCAGTGCGTCCAGATGTCCTCTTGCCAAGCGCATTCTCCGCTGTACAGTAATACGCTCCAGAATCTGAGGCCTGGATGGAGCTGAAGACCAGCTGTGGCTCTTCACATAGTGATTCAAGGCCTTGGTTTTTATCCTCCTTGTACCAGACGTAGTTAGCTGCTGGGTTAGCATCACTGCTGCAGTTCAGAGTCACTGAACTTCCCTCCACTATCTCAGCAGAGGGACTCACTGACACAGAGGGAGGCTTTGGAGCATCTGGAGAAGATTTAGACAGAAAATGTTGAGACAGGCAACTGAAGCACAATCATTTGTAGATTTCACCAGCTCCACACATTTGTCTTCATTTATGCTTTTTGTGTTCAGGTCATGATTCTGCAGGTTCTGACAGTCATGTAGTTGCAGCTGTTGTGCAGAATTATTTTCTGGTTTACTACAGTTTTTTTTTTGCTGTTGTTGTTGTTTTACCTGTTGCTGCTATGACAGACTAGATGAAAATGTTTAAGGCGGGAGCAAGAACATACAGTGTACTGTATGTCTACTATGCCTGAATCACAAACATTCCATCCATCCAT